GGGGGTGAGGGATGAGGGGTGAGGGGGTGGGAGGTGAGGGGTGAGGGGGTGGGAGGTGGGGACAGGGGTGGGAGGTGCGGGGAAGAAATTGAAAGCTAGAAAAAGGAGAAACAAAGAAGGGGAAGGCGAAGGGAAAGTGGCTGGTGAGCCGAGCAGCTCCGACCAGAGCGTCCTACTGTAGCACTGTCAGAGCTGACATTTGGAGCATTGTGTACAGATGTAGCCAGGACACTACCATAAGGATGTGGAGGCTTTGGAGACAGTACAGAAACTGTACTGGTTGCCTGGTTTGGACAGTATTAGCTATGATCAGAGATTGAACAAACTTTATTTGTTTTCACTTGAATGAAGGATGGGGGGTGACCTGATAGAAGTTTACAAAATTATGACAGGCATGGATAGAGTGGATAGTTAGAGTCTTTTTCCCAGGGTAGAAATGTCAGTTACTAGGGGACATAGGTTTAAGGTAAAAGAGGGTAAGTTTAAAGGAGATGTGAGAGGCAAGTCGTTTTTTACACAGAGGGCGTAAGTGCCTGGAATGCACTGACAGAGGAGGTGGTGCAGATGGACACATAGCAATGTTTAAGAGGTGTCTTGACAAGATAATGAATAGGCAGGGAATAGAGGGATATGGACCACAGAGAGACACAAGGTTTTTAGTCAGAAAGGCATATTGTGGTTCTAATTATACTCCCCAGCAGTGGGAACAGGTCCTAATAAAATCACTGGACCAAACAAAACAGACACAGAAGGAATATTCACCAATCACCAACCTATTTTAATGGGATGTCACTTTAGCTTTGACAGAGAGAAACAGGTCAAAGGAATTCCTTCCTGCCAGCTTTTAATTTCCCACAGCCATTGCCTTTCCCACAGAGATTCCTTTCCCCAGTCTGTTACACAGCGATACTGACCCAGTGCACACTCCTCCCAGCCTATTACACAGCGATACTGACCCACTGCACACCCCTCCCAGCCTGTTACACAGCAATACTGACCCACTGCACACTCCTCCCAGTCTGTTACACAGCGATACTCACCCAGTGCACACTCCTCCCAGTCTGTTACACAGCGATACTGACCCACTGCAC